TAGACCATATTTTTTGCAAGGCAATTTAAAAAATTGTTCTTTCTTCTACAATGACAAGGACATACCTATTGTTAATAGAAGGGGTATGCAATACTTGCCATTTTTGGCTGAAATTACGTTAAAAATAAAAAGGAAAACTTTTGTTTTTAATAAACAGTGAAAGTTACTTTCAGAAGGTCAGTGGGTGGACCCTGAAGATCTCTTCCTCCTTTTCCTCTCGCCACATGGCACAGAACTCTCCTCAGCCTTTTCACTCTTTATACATACCTGAAGCTACTTCAAAGGTGTTGGCGTTATGTTCTTTTACAAACAGACAAGCTACTAAAGTGATTTATTCTAGTTTCAAGACACTATGATTATATGATAAAAAATATACTCTAACATCTGCACCTTTCAAAGCATTACGTATTCGCTTTGTTTCCCCCTTGGGATAAAATTCTCTTCAGCACTCCTGCTCTTTCCTGCTCACTTCTGAACACTGCTTTGCTTCTTACCCCAGCACACCGTTCTTTCTCTCTTGCGAGGGGTATCTTGGTCCAAATTGCACTACTCTGAAGTATGATAGTCATCTGGGTCATTACATTAATTGAAGAGACAAATCCTTTGTTTTGTAAATATTTTTCTCCAGAACCAGTGTCCTGCAAATATGGGTTGTTTGGGGTTTTTTTTGGTTTTGGGGGGGGGGGTTGTCTATTTCTTTTTTAATTTTTACTTATTTCTTCCATGAGCCAGAGACAGAAAGAGGATGCAACAGTGCACCCTTGCCTTCAGCCAGCGCTGGGTCATGGGCACAGCCTGATCCACTCGGGAGGTCTGTGGACATGAACCCAGACTCACTCCACAGAGCCGGCCTCACAGAGCACTGCATTCTCGTCTCTGCACCGAAGCCCAGCCCCGAAGACTTGAATTGTAATAGCTGACTGAAAGCTTCTATGAAGCAAGCACACTACTTTTTCTAGTATCTTTGACATACAATAATTTAAAATTTCACAAAAATCCTAGGAAGCAAGTATTATCATCCATCCTACAAATGAGTCACTGAGGCACAGGGACTAACCGATTCACTCAAGGTAAGTGATCAAGTCAGAATTTAAACACTGACATTCTAACTCCAGAGTAAGAGTGCTCAATCAATGTGCATTTAACAACGAAGAATGCAGAGAAATACAAGTTACAGGAGAAACTGAGTATCCCTGGTGTCCTAAGCAAAGCATTTTCGTTTGTTCTGGCAAGAAATAGCTAACCATCCAAGCATCTCAGGTAAGAAAGTTATTCCAGGCTACCCCAGGTTTCTCAGAGACAAGAACAGAAGCCTAGACTGAACCCAAGTTGAAACTGTTAGAAACAAAAGATCCTTTCTGACAGTGGGGAATCGCATGTCAGGCTATTAGAGGCTCCTCAGAAGAGAGCTGGTGTACACAGGTCTGTAAGGAAAGGCCTTCGGGCTGGCTCCGCCCACCTCCAGCCTTAGGGCACATCTGCCCCATGCCACAGTGGAGGTGAGAGAGCTCACCATCCCTCAAGCACTCCCTGCTTGCTTCTGTTTCCAAGATTTCCTTCAAGCTCTCTCCTCTGCTCTGTCTCCATTTCCTTTCTCCTCTGTCAGCTGAAGAACTCTCCACATCTGGTCTCCAAAAGTCCATTTCCTTTAGAAAGTGAATCCAAATCTGCTGAGTTAGGGTTAATTTTCTCTTCCCCATTCTCCTATATTACAGTGTATGTCTTCATAATGGTGGTTACTCTCCTAATGGGAGGGGAGAAAACACTAAAAATGTATTGTAATAGAAAGAAAATCTTTCTGTGAAAAGAAATCTCAAGTTCAAGGAATTACCCTACCACTAACTTCCCAACCCAAACTGAGGACCCTGGATAACTCTTCTCGTAAGCAAAGCACACAGTGAGTGCTCTCTACATCTTAGCTGAAAACCCTAACTAGAAGAACTAGTTTAAGCCAAAACAAGAGAGAATAGATCTCTTCTCAATCCCCACACAAGTTAGAGTAACACCAATACTGAGTTACACTCCCTAGTACTCCCTGAGTTACCTTTCTTATGCACCCAAGGGCAGCAACATCTGAAGTAATGGTGACTTTCCCTGAATCCCCGAAAGACACTAAAATTTTTTAAGTGTCTGTGATAAATGAAATCAAACCAACAATCAGCAAAAAGATCTGTGGGTTATTTCCTTTGGATACGTTTTCTCATTCAATAGGTATTTCTAAATTATTTATCATGCACCAGGCACTCTGCTTATCACTGGTCTACAGAAGACACAGGCTTTACTCTTGGAAGCCTACAGACTTTTCTCTAAAAGACATTACTCTAATGAAATGTGATTTGTACAATGTTAACGTCTTATCTACTGGATTTGTTTATGAAGTTTAGTCTTTTCTTTTATGGTTTTAAATTTTGCATGTTTAGACAAGATTATTAAATCATGCACTCATAATCATTGTTTATTAACTTGCTTTGAAAAACCACCCACAAACCTCAATGACACATTAGTAATAAACAATAGTTTGTTATTCACTGTTTACCTAGAACATTATCTCATACCTAGAACTACAAGGAGTTGATGCTATTTCTGTTACAGGTGATGAAATTGAGGCTCAGTGAAATCGAAGTACTTTAGTGGAGGGGCAGAGCTCCAGGCAGTGGCTCTCAACCCCAGTGTGCCTCACACTCACCTTGTTAGAAACACACAGTATTGGATCCCAAACCCACAGCTGCTGATTCAGCAGGTGTTCAATAGGGTCTGAGATTTTGCATTTCTAACAATTTTCTAGATTAATTGTCACTGGTTGATTTCAACAAAATGCTGACGACATGGAGAAGGAAAATATTCTTCCCAAAATCAGAAAAGAGGAAACTTTATTTATAGAAAAGGTGATATTTGAGCTGACCCCTGAAAGATGATTAAGAGTTCACCTGGCAGAAGGCGAAGTCGAAGGTCAACCCATAGGAATAGACCTGCAGGTATAAGGACTTAGTGTATATTGTTTGGAAATTGACCAGAAGGAGACATGAATGAATGTTCTTAGGTGTTAGTATTATCCTATATTTTTCTTCCCTGGAAATGGGAGAGCCGAAGAAAATAGGAATAAAGATTTTAAAAAATAATAATAAAGACAAGGAGGCAGGTGCTGAGGTCATTCATAACTGAAAAATCCAACTTGCCAGTTTGAATGGCCAAAATTTTTTAAAAAGAAAGTTTTAGGACTCTTACTGTAATTATTTTCTCATTTCTGGGTTTCTCTATACATCATTAGCAGGAACTCCATTACAAGAAACTTCTGTTTTTATATGTTTCTATTATCTTGCCCGATCTGTTGTAACTTTCTTACTTTCCTTAGTATTTCCCATATTAACTTAATCTTGATGTACTTTGTGGAATAAATCTCAGGAATACCCCTTACTCACTGGTTGAATTATATGTGCACTATTGATTTAGAGTAGATACACCAATATTCACATTTCTTTACAACTGGTACTCATTTTTAAAAATGAACCCATATTGGTTGTTAAAATTGATGTTTATTTCCAAAGACAGTTAAATTTCAAGAACTGTCACAACCTAATGTTGTGTTTTTGCGGTTGTTTTGGAGTACAATATAAGCACATTGCACAATACAAAACCCAGCTGCTGTCTTTCCTGTGCAATGAGGTATAATTCTTTGGGAAGCCGGATATCTGGTTATTAGTATACATCCATGCTCCGGTTCCATTCTCTCAAATAAAGTCTTTGTCTGACAGATGTTGTGCAATCTTCTTTAGACCATAACCATAACTGGCACACAGAGAAGGTCATTGTTAATATTCTAGTGGAGACACTGTGTTTACCCCAAATACTTGTATTCTCTCATATTGTTATAATCCCACTCAAAACAAAAGTTGAGACATGCCTTAGTCTAGAAGATATTTCCAAAGTACAATTTCTCTGGTTAAAGGAGATGAGATCTGCTGGAGTTTACCATACTCATACTCACTACTAACTTGAGTAAATAAATATCAGTGTGGCTTTTTTTTTTTTTGCATACTCCAAGTTGCACATTATAAGACAATTAAAATAGAGCTAGAAAAAAAAAACTTGTAGAAATATAATTAAGGATGATTCCAGTTATATAAGTAAAAACTATAAAAGTAAATATTACATTTTAAAGTTGCATATGTCTGTTAAACTATTAAGAAAATTTGGGTAATAATAAGCAAAAATTAAGGACCATGAATTTTCTTTTTTGAGGAAAAAAGGAGATATGGTCAAGGGAGAGCTAAATTAGAGATTCTGAAAATACTGGTGGTATTTTATCTCCTAAATATTTATTTTACTATCTCCTCTAAACTATATAGACATTATATTTGTGTGTATGAAACAGTTTATAATGCATTTCAACTCAATATTTTTAAAGGTAACTGTTGGTATTAAAGCTGAGTGATGATCAAGGAGCAGTTAGTAACACATAAGCACCTATATTACATGAGCCTCAGAAAGAATACTTTATCCATTCATTCTTCAAGTATTTACAGAGTACCTACTCAATGCCAATGCTCTAGATGCCTATGGAACTGTTACTAAAACAGGATGCAGTGAAGCAGAACAGTTAAAAGGCTGTTGCAAATAATTCAAAAAAGGGGCTGTGACGAGAATGGTAGCAGTTCTGGAGGCTGGGAAGTCCAAGAGCATGGTACAGGCATCTGGCAAGGGCCTTCTGGTTGCATCAAAATATTATGACGGCATCACAGGGTGGGAGAGCAAGGGACTGAGAGAGCTCACTTTTCTAACAGAGTGAGCTCATGATAACGTGTAGACTCATGGTAATGAGTCCACCATGGTGACATTAATCTATTACGAACTTTCGGGAGGCACATTAAAAACATAGCACTAGTCATATTTTGAAGGTAGAACCAAAATGATTTCCTAATAACTTAGATATGGGTGTAAAAGAAAAACAATTCGGTGTGACTCCAAGGTTTGACCTGAGCTACTGAAAAGATGGAGTTTCCATGCTCGCTTCAGCAGCACATAAACTAAAGTTGGAAAGATACAGAGAAGATAAGTATGACCCCTGTGGAAGAATGACGTCAGATTTGTTAATTAAGGGGAAAAACATTTAACAGACACAAAAATGGAAAGATATCTGTTGATGATAATGTATATAATAATATTTTTTTTTTTTTGAGAGGTTTTTCGCTATAGGGCGTGTGTGCTTGCCAGACAGAGAGAGACAGAGAGAAATAAAGTGAGAAATCACTCCCCAGGGGGGATGGTCACGCCGCAATCCCTTCTCCTCCATTCTCCTCTCGGGATCTTGGGCATGCACACACATGCGCCCAGCATGAGTTTTAAGCCCCCGGGTCCGGGACTCGAACTGCGGTCGACTACATGGGAGTCCAGCGACATAGCCATTACACTAACTGCTGGTCCCTATAATAATATCTTAAACTGGACTAATATATACTGTTTTCATGCTGGGAAAAACAATTCTGTACACTGTAAAGATGTACAGTGACTAAATGTAAAATAAAATTTTTTAAAAAAAGATGGAGTTTCCATACACTGATAGGGTTGAGCATTTGCATGGGGCAAGTCTGATGGCGGAGAACATCAATATTCCTGTTACATAATCTGGTGGCACTGGACATATAGGTCTCATGTTCAAAAGAGAACTATTTAAAGGCCAGATGTGCTACTTGCCAATAAAAAGCATTTTATTCTAGTTTTGCATTTTCATTTGAGTCATTTTATTTTTCAAATAAACCAATTTAACACTACTGAAAGTTGCTTTTTGACACAGAACTAAATAAAGAAAACAAAGCGAGTTTTTCAGAGGTACGGTTCATTATTTTCTAAGCATTTAACTTCAGTACAAATACACTAGTGAGCGAGCATGTGTGTACATGTGTTTGTGTTCATTTTTAATAAACTACTGTACTAATATGATTTTGGCACCGATTTCCAGACTTCCTCCCTGGGAAATGTTAGAACATTAGCCAGGAATAGCTAAGGAAAATGTCTCGGTCACCTTCTAGCTCTGCACTGTCTTGCCAGTGACCTCTGTTGTGATCCGTGGCATTCTGAACTGGAATAGGTATTCTTTCCACCATGATTTTTAAAACCAACTGCAAAAATGTTTTGGTCTCACTGTACTTAACTACTCAAGAGTCAGATTTCAACTAGTCTGTCAATTAGAACCAATTATTTCTCTGGCTCTAATGATCTGGGGGGCTTTTGTTTGTTTGTTTATTTTTGTATTTTTTTTTTTTTTTTAGAGATTTTGGGGCCTACACACTGCCAGAGAGACAGAGACAGAAAGTAAGAAATAATCCCCCAGGGGGGATGACCACGCACCGCACCTTCTCCTCCAATCTCCTCCCGGGATCTTGGGAACACACACATGTGCCTGGTGTAATTTTCAACCCACCAGGTTGGAGACTTGAACCACAGTTGGCCATGTGGGAGTTCAGAAACATAACCACTACTCCATCTGCTTGTCCCATGATCTGTTCTTAACTATAGGTCCTTTCATTAGTGTGCTGTCTCCTCCTTCAAACACTCAGTGCAACAATTGTTGCCTCCTTGATTACTCTCTAATATTCACTCTCAGCCGTGTCTCTTAATCACATAGTCATAATGGAGCACATTTTATAGATACTGTAGGTCTCTTTAAAAAATAAAAACAGCAGATTCCACATGACCCAAATATTATCTCGGATTTGTGGTATCCAAGAAGTCAATGCACATCCTTTATAAAGAACATTAATACTAACCTAGGATTTCAGTTTTCTCATTGGTTAAGTTCAATTATACAAGAAAATTAGATTTTAAAAAAATTATGTTTGAAATAGTTAAATATAAGATGAAAAATTTAAATATAAAATAAATAAGTTACTATCAAAAATAATTACTTATATTTGATAATGAACTAAATAACCTAAATAATTCTTTGAAATAAAATATATAATTATTAAAATTTAAAATAAATATATTCAATGCATTGGTTAATAGTACATGAAATCAAGACAAAAGGTGAATTTGTAGATGGAAAAAGATCTTGATTTTTAAAACCAACTGCAAAAATGTTTTGGTCTCACTGTACTTAACTACTCAAGAGTCAGATTTCAACTAGTCTGTCAATTAGAACCAATTATTTCTCTGGCTCTAATGATCTGGGGGGCTTTTGTTTGTTTGTTTATTTTTGTATTTTTTTTTTTTTTTAGAGATTTTGGGGCCTACACACTGCCAGAGAGACAGAGACAGAAAGTAAGAAATAATCCCCCAGGGGGGATGACCACGCACAATTCCTTCTCCTCCAATCTCCTCCCGGGATCTTGGGAACACACACATGTGCCTGGTGTAATTTTCAACCCACCAGGTTGGAGACTTGAACCACAGTTGGCCATGTGGGAGTTCAGAAACATAACCACTACTCCATCTGCTTGTCCCATGATCTGTTCTTAACTATAGGTCCTTTCATTAGTGTGCTGTCTCCTCCTTCAAACACTCAGTGCAACAATTGTTGCCTCCTTGATTACTCTCTAATATTCACTCTCAGCCGTGTCTCTTAATCACATAGTCATAATGGAGCACATTTTATAGATACTGTAGGTCTCTTTAAAAAATAAAAACAGCAGATTCCACATGACCCAAATATTATCTCGGATTTGTGGTATCCAAGAAGTCAATGCACATCCTTTATAAAGAACATTAATACTAACCTAGGATTTCAGTTTTCTCATTGGTTAAGTTCAATTATACAAGAAAATTAGATTTTAAAAAAATTATGTTTGAAATAGTTAAATATAAGATGAAAAATTTAAATATAAAATAAATAAGTTACTATCAAAAAAAATTACTTATATTTGATAATCAACTAAATAACCTAAATAATTCTTTGAAATATGACTATCAAAAATAATTATTTATATTTGATAATGAACTAAATAACCTAAATAATTCTTTGAAATAAAATATATAATTATTAAAATTTAAAATAAATATATTCAATGCATTGGTTAATAGTACATGAAATCAAGACAAAAGGTGAATTTGTAGATGGAAAAAGATCTGAAGAAGCTATTCAAAACCAGTCATGAGAGTAAAAGGATAGACAATATTTAAGAGTACTTAAGAGAAAAAATAGTCAGAAAGTTTAATATATAAACACTAACCACAAAATCAAAATAAAAGAACAGAGGAAATGAAGAATTTTCAAGAATAGATAAAAACCATGATTCTACATACATAAAAATTCTCAACATCTTACCAAAAACAGGTAAGTAAAAGTAAATCTGCATCTGGACATTCTGTAAATAAAATTAAATTTTTTTAAACACAATCTGTCAAAACCAAACAAGTAGATCTTTTTTGCACCTTTATGAAAAACCAGTTGGCTATGTAAATGTGGATCTATTTCTGGATGCTCTGTTTTGCTCCACTTGCCTGTGTGTCTGCTCTTGTGCGAGTTCCATGCTGTTCTAGGAACTACAGCTTCCCTGCATGTTGTGAAGTCAGGGAGTGTGAGGCCTCCAACTTTGTTCTATTCGCTCAGGATTACTTTGGATATTCTGGGTCATTCGTGGCTCCATATACCTTTTAAGATTGTTTTTTTTTCATTTGTGTGAGAAATTTCATTTGTACTGATAGTGATTGCGTTGGCTCTGTAGATTGTTTTATGTGGTATCATCACATTAGCAATGTTAATTTTTCCAATCTATAATCATGGGGTAGCTTTCCGTTTCTGTGCATTCTCTTCAACTTGTTTTTATCAGTGTTTTATAGTTTTTATTGTACAGTTATTTCTTTTTCTGGTAAATATTCCTAGAAATTTTATGTATGTATGTATGTACAGCTATTATTATCATTATTAGAAACGGTTTATTTTCCTTATCAACCTTCTGTGGAAGAGCAGGCTTAAGACCCCTCAGTGGCTGTTCAATGATCTGAGCCGTGGGGGCTGCAGACCAGCCTTCGGTGGCAGGCTGAACTCTCCAGTCTTCAGTAGGGAACTGGGGCACAGAGGGCACCTGCACGCCTTCAGACCAGTCTGCAACCTCAGGCTGAGTAGAAGTAAACGCAGGAGCTGGAGCTGTCCATTCACCCTGAAACTCCTCCTTGGTCACAGTCTTTTCAGTACCAGCCTGTTCCTCCCTTTTCAACCTCTCCAGAGTACCTGTAGAAGTGGAGATCAGGCATGACCTCTCACGCGAGTTCATGGGAGATTGTGCCACGCATGCACAGAACTTCCCTGGCCAGCATCCACATCAGACCCACTGAGTGAGCTCCCTTGTTACATGGGATGGCAATGTCCACACAGCACACAGGCCAGTCTGTGCTGCGCAGAGCAATGGTAGGTGGACTAAAACCAAATGCCTCTGTGAGAGGCTGGTGGTCGATTTGGGGGTCAGTCACCACCGAGATGTAGTTCTCGGAGGGCTGCCTGGATCTAGTTAGTGAAGGTTTCAGGAGTGAAGTGGCCAGCAACACGAGTGGGTCCAGTGGCAGCAGCAGACTTCAGCACAGCCCTCTGTCAGGTATTCCTTGAAGATATGACACCGACATCAGCAGAATTTTCAATGGCAACAATGGCATAAGCTGCCAGCAGAAGCTTCTCCCAGGTCCTCTTCAGATTTACGATGCAGATGCTGCCACTTTTCCTTTTGTAGACTACTGCTCCGTTTGGAAGTCAAGGCTGGTCCCACCACAGTGGGTTCCTGCCGCAAGGAGTCTGAGGACGTCCTCAGGACCTCAAGGGCTCTGAACACTCTGAAAGTTTCTTACAATGGGAATCCAGAACAGCTCTGCGTGGACCCTCACGTGAGCAGTGTGGAAAGGACTATTTACAGCTATAATTACTGAGATTACTTTCTTTCTCTCTTTTTTTTTTAAGAGAGATTTTTGCAATAGGGCACATGTGCTTGTGCTCGTTAGAGACCAAAAATGAGACGCCCCCAGAGGGCTTGGCCACGCTACAGTTCCTTCTCCTTCATTCTCCTCTCAGGATTTTAGGCTGCACACACACGCACCTGACATGAGTTTTAAGCCGCAGGGTCTGGAACACTAACTGCAGTTGACTATGTGGAAGTCCAGCGATATAAACAGGACGCCATCTGCTG